CTAAAGCCTAAACTTCCTAAACCGCTCTCAGCCCTAAAACCTGAGGCTATACCTTATATGCATATATATATATATATATATATGTATACACACCTAACATGCCCTATACCTTGAAGAATCTTTGGGATGGATCTGCCCTATCCTGACCCATGTCATGGTCTGGGGCATTGATAATATAGAAACCCTACGTGCAATCGGTTAAATAGAATGGTTGTTAAGATACCTTTTCAACTGGGCTCCATTTTAGACATCGCCAACCTAGGAAATCCGAATGCCTTTTAAGATCTACCCTAAACCCTATATAAACCCTAGGATGGTTTTGTTGTTGGATCCTTTAAAGGCCTTGGGGTTTCGTCTGCCCAACCGGCGCATTAATCCGGAACGCCAGGTCGACAAGCGATTGAAGCTCTGATTTGCGGCTGGGCCTCCTAAAACTCTAAACCCCTAACCCGTAAACCCTAAATCTGAGAGATCTTTCTGATTTATGGCTCATGGCAGGTCTGTTGCACCCGCACTTGCCGAGTGTATATGCTGATTACATATTCTTCAATATTTCTGTGCGAATCTATGTCTATATGTACACAAGTTCGAAGACCGCATATAAGGATTCCGCATACACGCACATCCAGACGAATGCGCACACACACAGAGACACGGACACACACACACACACATGTATGCATGTGTGTGTGTATATATATATATATACACGCATACATATACACGGTTTTATACAGACAGATAGACGCTTGACAGCTAGACAGGCAGACAGACAAACGACCTCGCTGCGTCTCTCGCGGTCTTTACATACCTTCTCCTACCACATCAGCCCCCCAAAGAACCTCAAAAGCCTCGATCAACCCTAAACCAGGACTATACCTAGCACTGAAGGCGACCCGTTGTCTACTCAACTTGTGGGTTCAGGGTTTAGGGACGCAGGCAGGTCAGTGTGCCTGACAATTCGTGGGATCTGGTCCATGGCGATTAGCAGGAATCCGCCAGTCAGCAAACAAACGGCGTTCGTGGCCGTGTCCATAATCGCCTTCGGATTACCGGCTTTGGAAGAAGGTTTAGGGTGCTTTGCTTTGCTTGAGTCGGTCTAGCTGGCTTTGAGTACACAGGGCCCTACCCCAAACCTTAAACCCCCAAACCCAAAACCCTAAACCCCTAAACCCTAAACCTGTAAACCCTAAACCCCTAAACCCTAAACCCTAACACCTAAACCCTTTTGGGGCTTATAGGATTTGGAAGTAAGTGGGCAGTCAGGCAGCGAGATTCCTAGGCTGCGCGACGCCTACATAGGGTTTAGGGTTTAGGATTTCTTGGAGGTTAGGGTTGAGGGTTTAGGGTGTCTTGGAGTTTAGGGTTTAGGGTTTTTTTGGCGTTTAGGGTTTGCGGTTTTTGGAGTTCAGGGTTTTTTGGAGTTTAGGGTTGAGGGTTTCCGGTTTAGAGGTTTTTCATACTTAGAAGTTACTACGCTGCAAGGAACCCTAATAAGGCAGAGCACTGCGAAATAGGTGGGCCCCCATGGCAAACCCTGACGTCCCGAAACCTTTAAAAGCAGAAGGCTTGTTGACCCCTTAAACCCATCAGCCCTCAATCCCAAACCACCAATCCCGAAACTCAACATCTAAAGCCCTAAACCCTAAACCCCAAAACACCAAACCCGAATATACACACATACATACACCCTAAACCCTAGCGCACAAACATCTGGAACGCCTTGTACTCCTCGGGCTTCGTTACCCAATCAGGGACTTTTGCCTCTCAGAGAGGATCCTAAACCCTAAACCCTTAACCCTAAACCCTAAACCCTAAACCCTAAACCCTTAGGTCGCCGGCTGAGGGGTGAGGGTTTAGGCTTCTCGAGTATGGGGTTTCGGGCTTAGGGTTCTGGGGGTTTGGGTTTAGGGTTTAGGGTTTAGGGTTTAGGGCTTAGGGTTTAGGGTTTAGGGGTTAGGGTTTAGGTTCTTTAGGGTTTAGGGTTTAGGCTTTAGTATTTAAGCTTCTCGGTTTAGGGCGCGTCTATAGCCGAATGCTATAAGAGGGTGTCAGAAAGTTGTACTAGGCGGTCACAGGGATGTCCGCTGTATGCTAAGCCCCTCTACCAAGGCAAGGGACCAGAATAGGTCTAACCGACACCCTCGAAACCCTAAACCAAAACCTAAACCCTAAACCCTGACCTAAACCCTGAACCCTAAACCCTGTAGTGCCCTAAACCCTAAACCCTATTTAAGAGCCCTTATAATTCCCTTCAAAGGAACTCTAAACCCAAAACCCTAAATCCTAAAGTCTGACCGGAACGGGATTCGCCCAAGTTTCCGGCTAGTGCCGACCCTCTAGGGTTTAGGGTTTAGGGTTCCGTTAAATGGACCTATAAGGGCTCCTAAATATCGGGTACTATAGGGTTTAGGGTTTCGGGTTTCGGTGCTTCAGGATGTTCGGGTGGAAGACTTGTCCTCATACATTCGATGCCAGGTTCCCCAGTAGCCCCTTAAGAATAAGGGTACCCTTTTTTCCTACTATCCGGTTTTCACAAGGAGATCCCACAATGAAACGGCAAAGGGTACTGCTGAAACCTAGAATACATTCTTATTCCCTGCTATCGCTGCTGCTGAGATGTCAACGTAAACATCGGACGATGGGAGTCGGCCTGAATGCCGAACCCATCGTCCAAGACTTCAGGGTTTAGGGCTTAGGGCTTAGGCTTTAATGTTTAGTGTTTAGGGTTTCGGGGTTGAGGGTTTGGGGTTTAGGAGGATTCCACCTCCGAAGTTCGATGTGTCGAATCGGAGGGGTTCGCTTGTAAGCGACATGCAAGCCTCTTCAACACAGTCCTCTAAATACTAAATGCCACCGAGGAACCAAGGCGTTGAACCTATTCAAGGTCTACGGCCTGAGGCTGGCTTGGCGTTTAGAGCTCAGGGTTGGGGGCTTCGGGCCTAAGATTTGAGGCTTTAATTTGTTCGCGGTTTTGACTTTGGGCTGATGGTTTGGGATTGAGGTGCGAGATTCAAACGCTCGCGCCTGCATCTGCTGCGTCAGGAGTGGGGTGGCTGCCAAGAAGCCGCAAAGGCCTGGATGTCATCAGATGGCATTGTACCATTTAAAATCTTGAACCCTCAGTCAGTCAACCCCAAACCCTCCGCCTCAAACCAGGAGGAATCTGAACCAGATACGTATGAAAACCGGAGGAAACACTCAACCTTAAGTTGATAATACCGAAGGTGATGATCAGGGTGTTGACAGTAGTACCCGTGCCAACAATACTACTTTCTCTAACCGTAGCAGTAGCAGTAGCAGCGGTGGTAGAAATAGTCGTGGTCGTCGAAGTCGTGGTCATAGTCGTAGTGCGAGTCCTTGTACTCCTACACCCCCCCCTAAACCCTAAACCCTAAACCCTCAACACTAAACCCCTCAACCCTAAACCCCTAAACCCCCAACCCCAAACCCTCAACCCTAAACACCTAAACTTTAACCCTCAACCCTAGACCCTAAACCCCTAAACCCCAAACAAGTCGGCTGCCTGGATAAATCAGAAACCACGGCTTCGAAGCGCACCACAGAACTTCGCCGAAGAGACCGAACCTTGGGCTCGCGGTTTCGGGGTTTCGTTTTTTTTTTTTTAAAGGGTTTAGGGTCTTAAGGAATTTAAGGTTTAAGGTTTAGGGTCCTAAGGGTTTTAAGGTTTAGGGTGTAGGATCTTAAGGGTGTAAGGTTCAGGGCTTCGGTTTAAAAGGGTTTGTGGTTTAGGGCTCGGGGTCTTAAGGGGTTTCGGGTTTCGGGCTCGAGGACTTAAGGATGATTTCGGCTGGACACCCGTAAACCCAAACTCTAAACCCAAATTCTAAACCCAAAACCCTACACAAAAGCTCTAAACCCTGAGTGACCTTACTTTTTCATGGAGCCCTAATGACCTGAGGCTATGATAGCAGGTAGCAGGAAGGCTCATGCTTTCGACGGTTTGGGATTAAGGGCTTCTGTGTTACGGGTCGCTGTTTGGCTTTAGCCTTTGAGATTTGGACGGAATATTGACCTAAACCCTATAAACCCTACACCCTACACCCTACGGTAATAACATTCTGGCAGCAAGGCGCGCTTCGTTGAAGCCGTGTTGCGAAGCCCTGCTCGCGTGTATGAGCCCAGCAGTTGGCCATACCATAAAATCTAAGGCATCGGACTGTCAGCAGGTAATGTAGGGGCCTGAATAATTAGAATAGGGTTTTGGGGTATATGATACTATAGCTATGAGAAGGAACCCGCAAAAATAGTATAGGTAATTATTTAGGCCCCTATAGTAACTATCAAGCTTCGGCCGTATGTGGTGCATGGCGATGCCTTGCACCTCACCTACACCTTCTGAAACCCCAAGCCCCTAAAACACATGACCTCTATTAAACCCTACATAATATAGCAGTATAGAAACATGCCAGAGCTCTGTAGATCCAAACAGACAGAATCACGCTCTGTCATCTGGGCCGCTTCATGGGCACGGCTGCATCCGCCGGCAGCTTACCTCAGGCAGGCTTTGGCTTTCAAAAGCGGTCCTTCCTGCTCCACAGACGTTCCCTCACATTCTTGTTGGCTTTGTATGCGAAGTTGTTTTATAGGACTTATGATAAGGATGTTCAAACGTCTAATCATTGGAATGATTGGAATCTAGGCTTCAGGCCCCAAAGCAAGCACAAATTGTCGAATATAGGAGCCTACATAATTCGAGTTGGGTTTTGGGGTGCATGCGGACATGAGTCTGAAGCGACAAAGGTTTCAGATGACTTGTGCAGTCAGTGAACTTTCCGCTCATCTTTGAGCGTTTCGTTCAGCTAAGCTTGGAGATGGCTCCTTCAATGGCCTTGTGTAAAATGATCATAACTGGGCTTTGAAGTAACCAGGGAGAAAAAAGTATAGACTTTTATTCTATAATGGTTCCTTTAAGGAACAGGTCCCCCAAAAAAGTATTAAAGTATGGTACTCCAAAGCCCAGATAAGTCAAGGCAAAGTCATCCAACAACTGTACAGGAATGTCACAGGGTCTGGGACACCTTCGTGTGATCTTTCGCGGCTCACTAGAAAACTCAAGTGCGAATAGAGTTTTGGGGTATATTGTACTCTAACTATAATAAGGAACCCCAAAATAGTATAGGTAACTATTTAGGTCCCTATATCATCCGGACCCCAAAGCTCGAGACCTCAAAACCCCCCTAAGCCTTGCTTGTCCACTTTCCTAGGGGGAGCTGCAGGCTAAGCTTAAGGAGGGCTTCGAGGTTGTAGTATCCGAAGAAAGCTAACGGTTGCTTGCTGAAACACTAGCCCTAAACCCTAAACCCTAAATCCTGAACCATGTACTCTAAGCCCCAAACCCGAATACATGTTTGTCTACCTGGAGTCTCTGGATTCTCAAAGCTCCTCCCCGAAGCCCTACCCCCCGAATCCTCTATCTTGGCGAAGGCTCGGAGCCTTAATCCCTTCCCCCTACCATTCAACGGGGGGGGGGGGCCCCCCCCTCTCCAATAACACTTCGAAATGTGTGTTTATTATTTGGGCGTGTTTTTTTACTCCCTGGTGTCACTTTTGAGGGATCTGGCTCTTGCTCCTGCTCCTGCTGCATCTCTTGCTCTCACTCCTGCGCTTGCTCTTGCTCTTGCGATTGCTTCTGCCCTTCCTTTGCTGAAGCTCTTACTCCTGCTCTTGCTTTTGTTCTTGCTCCTGCTCCTGCTTTTGTTCTTGCTCCTGCTCTTGCTTTTGTTCTTGCTCCTGCTCTTGCTCCAGACCCTGTACTGCAAATTCGATTTTAAAGGGCAGGGATGATTTCGGGAGGATTGGGCCTTTTATTATTAGGGGGGTGTTTAATAAATAGGGAGACGGGACTACACGAAATAGAAAGTCCTATAACCGCTTACAGGCCTTCACCCTCATTTTGCAGTCAAGAAGCTAACTCTAAAGCCTAGAAACCCTAAATCCATACGCCCTAAGCCCTAAATCGGCCAAGAAGCTAAACAGGTGCAGACCTTCGCTCAACAGCCGGCCCAGAGACTCCAATACCCCTTAAATTAAGGAATATACCTTAAATCATAGTAGGATCCCTAATAAGATTTTAAGGCATATTGCTTAATTAAGGGGTCTTGGAGTCTCTGGGCGGATTGCGGGGGTTGCAGTTCGCAGAGTTCTGGGGCTCAGAAGGTCGGACCGAGGACTCGGGCTTATGAGATACGGTTCACGGCATTTGGGGTTTAGGGGCTTAGGGTTTAGGGCATTTGGGGGTTTAGGCGTTGGGGATTTGGGGTGCAGAGCATTTGGGGTTTAGGGTGTAGGGGTTTAGGGTGTAGGGGTTTAGGGTTTAGCGGTTTAGGGGTTTAGGGTTTAGGGGTTCAGGGGTTTAGGGTTTAGGGGTTTAGGGTTCAGGGGCATTGGATTTGGGGGGTTCTGCTTCGGGCTCTATCGAGTTTACAGTAGGGGTGCGTGCTTCTTTTTGGCTGACCAGGCATCAGATCCAACGACACATACTATAGGAGCCTTAATGATTAGACGAGGGTTTTGGGGATTGTTACGGCCCCTATATTACCCTAAACCCTCGAAATCCCTCCTCGTAGAACGGCGTGGCTAACGTAGGGGCCTTAATAATTAGAATAGGGTGTCGGGGGCGGGGGGGGGGGGCTCCTCATTATAATTATCGTATAACATACCCTAAACCCTAATCTAATTCTGAAGGCCCCTAGATTATCGCTACCAGGCCTGAACATCCAAACACATGAAATCTCGAAGCCCCAGAGATCTCCACCCCAAGCTGGGACATATGGTAAACCGCAAAACATCTAAGGTTGAACCCATGGGCCTTTAGTATAGGCCCTTGACCCTGGGATCCTTATATACCTACTCTATACCCTATATGTACCCTCAAGGGTCCTTAGAAAGGCCTAGGGGTCCATATTAGGGGCCCATACTTCTAACCTTACAAACAAAGGTTGGAAACGGGATTACGGACAAATAGTGCTGGGAGTCCCTATACATGACTCTTAAGGATTGAGACCATTGGGTGTTCGAGCTTTTGAGCTTCTACCGTAATTACACTATAGTCTTGCCCGTGTGTGAAGGGTCATGGGACCAAGTAACTAGGTACAATAACCATACTTGGGCACGAATGACCCTACGATACTTTATAACCTACCTACCTACTAAGTCCCAGGGTCCTTGTGAAGTAAGGTGAGGCATTCTCAGAGAATCCCTGCACTACTCATCCTTGACGCATGTTCCAGCTCCAGGGGTCAGGACTGTGTGTAGGCTTTGGGGCTTAGCGCCTTGGCATTTCCAAGGTGTAAGGCGTAGCTTTTGAGCATGTCCCAAAACCAAAAACTTATGGAGACCCTGAACCCCCAAATGGCCTACGTCCTTCAAGTAAACCACCGCCCAGAAGCCTATCAAGCCCAGTAGAAACAAACCCTAACCCCTAAACCTGAAACCCTAAACCCTAAACCCTGCACCCCAAACCCTAAACCCTAAACCCCCACCCCAGCCCCAGACCCGAACTCGAAACAGAACGCGCGGCCGAAAGGGACTCCGCAAGCATTCGTCGCCACGCAGCCGGCAGCCAGGAGCCTTGCGCAGGCCGGCAGACACTAATGTAGGGGCCTTAATAATTAGAGTAGGGCTTTTGGGGTTTAGGGTTTAGGGTTGTAGGGGCCTTAGTAATTAGGGTTTTGAGGGTTTCCTTTAAAGGGTTCCCTTAAAGGGTTCTATAAGGGCTACTGTAAGGGTGTAGGGGCCTTAATAAGTAGAGAAGGGTTTTGGGTTATATTAGACTATGAATATAATAAGGACCCCCCCCCAAAAAAATAGGTAATTATTTAGGCTTCTATATTCTACAAAACCTAATATTTAATTGCACAATAAATACGATTATATACGATGTATTCGTTGTCATACAAGACAACATAATATCTTAGATAGATAGATAGATAGATAGATAGATAGAGCGCGAGAGAGACAGAGAGAGAGAGAGAGATATATATATATATATATACATATTAATGTTTAAGCTGGATAGAAGACGGGAAGCAGGAAGGTGATGTAGTCTGAATCAAGTAAGGAGCTAAGAGGCTTAGCATGCACGCTGTTCGGGCTTTAGGGCTTTCAGGGTTCAGGGTGTGGTTTTTGGAATGTAGAGTTTAGGCTATAGGGTTTAGGGATGTAGTGTGTTTTGGGATGTAGAGTTCTGGCAATTTTGAGCAATGTAGATAAGTTTGGTTAAATTTGACATGCTGTTGTGGGTTTGGTGGTTTGAAAGCCGACAGGGCGGTGCAGGGGCACTTGGATTCAGGCTTGGCGTAGGACTTTGGAGCCGTCGAGTCGGAATTTCAAGCCGAGCCTCCAAAGAGGGTTGGGTTTAGGGTTTAGGGTTTAGGGTTTAGGGTTTAGGGTTTAGGGGTTTAGGGGTTTAGGGGTTTAGGGGTTTAGGGTTTAGAGGTTTAGGGTTTAGGAAGGCCGCAGACTTGGGACAACCCCTAACGGCAAGCCCTTAAACCCTAGACCCTTCAACAAACCCTGAACGCTTAAACCGTGCATCTACTGTAAAGAATGCCAGGGTCTAGGGTTCATGGCTCAGGGCAGTTATGGCTAGGGACTCCTGAATACCCATAGGCCCCATATAGTAGTTCCTTTTCGGGGTTACCTTGTAGGATTCTATATATGAACCCCCAGAAGGAACTACTTTAGGGCCTATGAATACATGCCAATTGAGCTACTTATGAAAAGGAGACGACCAAGACAAAAGCAGAAAACCAGGAGACTACGAGGAGACCATCAGGCTCTGTCAAACTACGGGTTTAGGGTTTAGGTTTTAGGTTTTAGGGTTTAGGGTTTTAGGGTTTTAGGGTTTTGGGTTTCAGGTTTAGGGCTTTGGGTTTAGGGTTCCGGGATTCAGGAACACGGCCACGGTGCTTCCCTGAAGTGGCCCATGTGTTGGAATGCACAGTGGACAAACTCAAACGTAAAAACTTTAGGCGCTGATGAGCCAGGGCACATGCCCACTTGTGCACCCATGGCGTATCTGCTCTCGGGATCCACTCCTTGGGCCCTGAAGTGCTGCAGCAAGCAAGGGCTGCCAAGATAGGTTCGGCCACCCCCCCCTACACCCTAAACCCAGAACTTTACGGTGTAGGGTTTTCCATTTCACGAGTTCAGGCTCTGGGGCTTCTTGGGAGTGCGGAGGTGCGATGGTTTAAATTAATTGTCGGGGCCTTGCATTGTAGAACGCTTTCCCTACCCTTCAACACTGCACACATAGGCTAGTGCCAGGGCCAGCACAACTGCAAGCACTCTGCCGATGGTACTGCCGCCACCCGTCATTTCGGAGGCCCATTAAGTTGTTCACCATGGTGGTACTGGTGTTGTCGATGAAGTTGGTTCTAGTCGTGATGGTGGTGGTGACTATTCAGGTCTCGTCCGTAGAAATACGCGACAACTTCTGCCAGCCCGACACCAACTTGTATCCTTGTCTCCAGCAGAATTCATCAATGCTTCAATGCATTCCTATGCACAACAGCAGTGCCATCCCGGAGTGGGCAGCAAACACAGAAAGCATGTCCGTTAATTTGACAAGCAAGCATAACATAGCGGCCTTACAAATTAGCATAGGATTTTTGAAGGCATAATGTACTATGATTATAATAAGGAGCCCCCAAAATGGTATAAGTAATTATTTAGGACTTTAAAGCCTAAGGTAGTGTGAGGGTTCAGGGGTTTAGGGCTTCGGGTTTGGGGTGTAGGATTTACTTTGGCCTAAACATGCACGCATGGCGACTATGCCAGGAAGTGTTTCTTAGCTGCTGTGGTCGAGAACCCGTCCAGGAGGGCACGCGGCTGAAAGACAATGATGTAGGGGCCTTGATAATTAGACTAGGGTTTTGGGGCCCCCTATACTATAATGAAAGTAAAGAACCCCCAAAATAGTGTAGGAAATTATTTAGGCCCCTATATTGAACACAAAGGTTCGGTGACATCGTCCCAACTGTGACCGTGCCGCAGAAACACGGTGCTTCGCAACTGCATCTTGGCTCGGGGGCAGGGTTTAGGGTGTAGGGGTTTAGGGGTTTAAACCCTAAATCCTAAACCCCTAAACGCTAAACCCTAAACCCAAAACCCCTAAACCCCTAAACCCTAAACCCTAAACCCCAGAAGGGTTTAGGGCTTGGGGCCCAGGGTCTGGGGGAATGAAGTCCAGTGGCTTTCAGCACCGAGTTTAGGCCCCGAACGCCAGATCCAGAAGTTAGTGGAGTTCGCTGCCATAAGGCGAAACACAAGGAGGGAACATAGGTTCGTAGATTCACGTACAACTTCAAGTTGAAATTTCGTGGACTGTTCGATGGTAGCGTCACAGTAGCCAGTAGCAAGGGACGTGTACATTGCGCATCAAGGTGCGCACAACATGAAATTGGAGCGGGGAGATCAAGCCCTAAACCCTAAACCCTAGACCCCCAAACCGCTAAACCCTAAACCCTGGCCCTAAACCCCTAAATCCTGAAACCCCTAAACCCCTAACCCCTAAACCCCTAAACCTGCCATGTAATCGTAGGACGGCAACGAAAGCAGCAACAACGGCTCATGACGATTAGCAGCTTCGGGCCTGTAGTCCGGAAACCCCAAATTCCTTCCTAAGCGTTCACTACGACATGGGACTTTCCGAAAATAGGGGGCACCTTATTTTGGGGTCCTTGTAGTAAGGATCCTATTATTTACGGTGCTATATCAGGGTCCCCTATTTTCGGAAACCCCCACATTCCTCATTTTGCACTTGGAGGATCATGGGACTTAGTTAGTCAGGTTATAAGTCCCCTAATTGGGGTTATAAGTATAGTTACCTTAGTCATAACCCTACTTACTAAGTCCCATGATCCTTTACGTAGGGTTCTTTGGTATGATTTCATTATGTACTTCTTGAGCACTGAAGTTGAAGAAGAGGCCAGGGAGAATGTATGGTGAAGCCTGAGCCCAGCTCCGGCAGCCAAAGACGTTTCGATTTTAGGTTTTTAGGGTTTGGGGCTTTAGGGCTTTTGGGCTCAAGGTTTCAGGCTTGAGGGATTTGGGGCTGTAAGGCTTTGAGTTTTTGAGCCTTTGTAGGGTGCCGTGTTTAGGATCCTGGCCACGCTATACAGTAGTGAAGCCTACCCAGCCACAGACGCAGTTCTCATAAGAAGCCTATGTCGAGTCGCCACGGCGCATTAGCATGACAGCCAATCCGAAACCTCCCGGATTCGACAGAGGTTTATGTAAGGCCTGTATAGGGTTGGCACGGTTCTGGTATTGAATCATGCAATGCAGCTTCAAATTCTAGTATGGTTTCGATCGCCAAGTCTCCCCTCTCCGGGCCCTAAACCCCAAAAAGGTCCGGGCTCAACCCTAAACCCTAAACCCTACCTAAACCCGGGTTCTAACGCCCAAAAGTGTTCGGGCACTGCCGGCCCTAAACCCCCAAAGGGCTCCGGGGTTTCGGTTTGTGGATTTCGCATTTCCTCGATCAACCCTAAACACCTAAAACCCTAGTTCCTGAATCCCTAACCCCTAAACCCTAAGATCCACTTGGAGGGCGCGGACTGACTGTCAAGAAGGCTGGGATCTTCTCACGAAATCGGAAGGAACACTTGCAGGTTCGAAGTTTAGGCTTTAGGGTTTTACGGTTTAGGGTCTTAGGGTGTTAGGGCTTTAGGGTTTTAGGGCCTGGGTTGAGAGTTTAGGGTCTTAGGGTTTGGGTTCAGAGTTTAGGGTTTAGGGTCTGGGTTCAACTTTTCGGATTCTTGCTTCGGCCCTGACAGCCAATCTATCGCGTGGCAGCAATGTCTTGGGTTTGGGACTGTAACAAACCCTAGGGTTTAGGGTTTAGGGTTTAGGGTTTAGGGTTTAGCGTTTAGGGTTTAGGGTTTAGGGGTGGGAATTAGGGAGAGCATATAGTAGAAGCCCTAAAGTTGGAAACCCAATAGCCTTAAGACTGAGGCACTGGGAATTCCAGCATCGGGTCTCCAACTTTTTGGGGTTTACGATATTGATTATGTATGTGTGGTGCTTGAACTTTGCAGGCTTGGCAGGCTCCTGTTTTAAGCTGTTGAGCCTGCCATCCTACGTAGGCACCAGGCATTCCTAAACTCTGAAAGATACCCAAACCCTCAACCAAATGAGGCATAGACGCCCGATCAGACCCACAGCCCCCTCCAAAGCTAAAAGCCCTATACCGTCTAATATCCCTATAAGGCCTGGCCTTCTGACAACCCCAGCGAAAAAGAAGAAAGCCCTTTAGAAGCCGTATGGGGACCCTGACTAGACGGTGCAAAAGCGGAAACGCGCCACAAAACCCTACAGAACCCGGTCCATGTAGCCTTACAAGAATCCGTAACCCTTTGCACCAAGCCCAGATCCTGCACCGCAAACCCTAAGCCCTAAACTACACCCTACTAAACCCTCAACCCGAAGCCCTACACTAAATCCTACATTACCCGGCAAAGCCCAGATCCTATGCCGCCCCAAAAAGCCAAAGGTCCGAAACGCCTGTAAAGGAACCCTGAGCCCGAAATCCACTACCCTAAACCCCACATCGGGTTTAGGGTTTAGGGTTTAGGATTTTGGGCTCAGGGTTCCTGAAGCAAGTATTCGACTCATCCTAAACCCTTAACCCATCTCAACCCTCTAACGCCTGAAGGCTATCATTGTTTTGCAATGATTATGATCCTTGTTCTTAGTCTTGTTCTTACTTATTATTACGACTATTCGTAGTAGTATTGCTATTAACCCTGGTAGTAATATTGATCTCTACTGCTAATAAGACTAGTACTTAACACTAAGACAGACAAGGAGACAGAAAGAAGGGATCATGCGGCCGATACCAAGGAGGCTCACCCTAAACCCTCAACCTTTAACCCTAACCCCCCCCTAATTCACAATAGGTTTTAAAGGGCAGGGGTGATTTCGGGAGGATTGGGCCTAATGTGTCTTTACGGGGTGTTTAATGAAAGGTGAAGTGATGATTGTCATTGGTATTAGTGTCATGAGTGGCAGTATTGCCTAACCTGCCTAAACCCAAAAATCCTCGATCAGGGCCGCAAGAAAGCACATAAGCCAAAAGCTAGGATAGGGATATCCCATATAAGCCCCAGCATCATGAAGCCTAATACGGTAGGGATATATGCTTACCTGGCCTTAGAAGTAACCAGGAAGAAAAAAGTATAGACTTTTATTTCGTAATGGTTCCTTTAAGGAACAGGTCCCGAAAAAGTTATTAAAGTATGGTACTCCAAAGATATATGCTTATGTCCCGTTTGGGTCCTTAAACCCTAAACCCTAAACCCCTAAACCCTAAACCATTTTGGAGATCACCAGCAGGTGTCGCATGTCGGCTTGGCAACTCAGAGCGAAGTCCAATCGTCAGGAACTCGCGGCAGCAACGCAACAAGGGCATGCGAATAAATAGCGGTTTAGGGTTTAGGGGTTTAGGGGTTAGCGTTTAGGGGTTTAGGGTTTAGGGTTTAGGGGTTTAGGGTTTAGGGTTTAGGGGTTTAGGTTTAGGGGTTTAGGGTGTAGGATAAACAAACAAGTAAGTAAATCGATAGACAGATGGATGAACAGATAGATACATGAATAGATCGATAGGTAGATAGATAGTGAGTGTTGTATAGGGGCGTAAAAGGGTTTTGTAATTCAGGTTTTGCAGCTCCTCTTCGTTCGTCAATCTTTTATATGGGTTATAGGAAATTTACGGTGTTATGGGCTGTAGGATTTTATCTGGCTTTCCCGCAGAACGATTGACACCGGTCGCAACAACTTACTCACAACTCAGTACGAATGATCAAGTCAGAAACGGCTCATCAAATACCACCGTGAGCCGCACCAGGGTCATAGAACGTTAATTATCCAACATCGTGTACCATAACATGACCGAAGGCAAAACAGAATCATAGAAGGTTGCACCAATGTGATGACCTAAGCCCTAAACCGCAAAACCCTCAAAGGCCCAGTGCCTAAATCCAAAAACCCCTAAAGCCCTCAATCCCAAACCC